TTTTATTGATTTTTTACAGAGAGGAAGGGAGAGAGATAGAGAGTTAGAAACATCGATGAGAGAGAAACATCGATCAGCTGCCTCCTGCACACCTCCTACTGGGGATGTGCCCGCAACCAAGGTACATGCCCTTGACCGGAATCGAACCTGGGACCTTTCAGTCCGCAGGCCGACGCTCTATCCACTGAGCCAAACCGGTTAGGGCCCACTGACAATCTTTACCCTCGCCCTCTGGTCCCGCAGAGCAGCAGTCCACCCCCCACCCTGGCTACTGTCTATCCATGAATGTGTGAGATCATGTGGTATTTTCCCTTGGGCTTTTGTGCTTCCTCCCCCCAGGCCTCAGGGCCCACTAACTCACTACAAGTAACTCACCAGGCCCCTACAGCACCCGGAACTCCGGTGAGCCCAGCAATGTGTTGTCTTGTCGGGTGGTCGGGCACCACGGCCTCAAGGCCAGAGAGTGTCCTGGGGGACCCTGGTGCTCAGGATATGGAGCCTGGAAACAGGAAGTGGAGACTAGACAGAATGTGCATTTGGGGGAGGGCAGCAGGGAGTGGGGTGGCTCCATCTTCCCACTGCCCTCCATGTGGGATGTGGGGGATCCCTCTTTCCAGTGGCTCACTCTGAGTGGGTGAGGGGACTCGACCTGTCCTCCGGGACCAGTAGGGTCCTTCAGATCCCATAGCCTGTCCCAGTGCACCACCCCCCTCCCAAACAGAGCTGGCTCCTTCCCCCAACGTCCCCAAGCTACTCCCTCTGCCCCTGCCCTGCTCTAGCCACCTTCCCCGGCCCAGTGCCCACCTCCAGGGCTCGCCCTGTCTGCTCCCAGCTGACCTCCCACTTCTCCCTCCAGTGCCCCTGAGCCCTCCACACATCACCCTGTCCACATTCCACTCTTGCTGAGCCCTCACGGTGGCCCTGGCATGGGGCCCCTGTCCTCAGGCTGGAACTCATCTGTCTGGATCCAGGACCTTCCCTGGGTAAGCCTCATCTCCAGCCACACCAGGACCCCAGGCTCCCCCTGGCTGGGATCTGTCTCCAGTTAGAGGCCCCAGTGAGGTGGGGAAACCTGCAGCAGGAAGGATAGAGGCAGGAGGAGGGGCCTTGCAGATTGGGCTCCTGGCCCACAGAAAGTCCTTCTTCCATTCACATCAGCCCCTCCCACCATGCCCTCCTCCCACCAACCCCTAGAGGAGAGGGTTCTCCAGGGGCTCTGAGAGGCCTGGAGGTGGGCAGGGAGCGTGAGCATAGCTGGGCTCGCATGGCCAGAGGCTCTGTTTGCCAAAGGGCCTCAGGGTAGGACAGGAGTGTATCAGCTACTTGGTAGTGGGGCTGGAAGCCAGAGTGCGGTCTGGGAGACCAGTGGGTAGTCAGCAGGGAGCGGGGAGATGGGATGGGGAGCCTGGAAGGGAGGAGAAGGGTTTGGCCGAACCTGCCTCAGCCCCTGAGGAGGGTGCCCAGGCCTGACCAGGAGCCCAGAGCCCCAGCCTGGCCTCCCAGGCTTATTCCCTTCGGAGCCTTTTTGTTCCTGAGGGACAAGGGCGCCTGAGGCCCTGGTCCATTCTCTCCCGGCCCCTCCAGTCCCAGCAGCACTGGGCCCATGTGATTACATGAGCCCCTCAAGGGGGTCAAATCAGACAACTACTGGCACCCCATCCCACCCCAGGGGCCCTCAATTCATTCACTGAGATGTGCCCCCAGGACCCCCCACTGCTCCTTCCCATGCCGAAGGCCCCTCCCCCCGCGTAATCCCCTTCCTCCACTGTGTCTCTGGTTTGAGGGACCCAGACCCCGTTCCCTCACAAGAATGATAATGTGAGCCCACACGTGGGCCACAGTGTTGAGCAAGGCAGGGTGCTGAGCGATTAACGGGGCTCATCTTATTTAAAGCTTATATATCAGCCCATCGCGGTAGGTATTATTACTCACTCTACAGACAAGGAACCACAGGCACAAGGAGGGCGAGTCACTTGCCCAAAGCCACACAGCCAGTAGCAGCAGAGCTGTGGTTCCAGTCTTTTCGGAGCCCAGGCAGGAATCCCAGGGGCTTTGTATCTCTTTGTTAAAAGCCTCCGTGGTGGAGAGCGGGAAGCCTGGCGGGCGAAGGGGACCGGGGCTGCAGCAAGGACAAGCCAGAGGCGTGGGAACGGGATGTGTTTACAGTCAAGAATGAGCTGACACGTCTCTCCTCCACCTCGAGATGCAAAGCAGCTGGGCTCCGGGCCAGGCCCCCAGGCCCCAGTCCTGTCTGAGCAGCCCCAGCTTCCCTGCCCTCTCTACCCCCAAACCCACACAGAGCCCAGCCCTGCTCATCCTGCCCTGCTCTTCTCCAAGCTCAGCCTGATTCTCTCCAGTGGGGAGCCCGCTGCCCTCATTGTGCCACAGCCCCTGCTAGGAGGAAGGGGGTGAGGCGAGGCCTCTGGGAGAGTTCCTAGCAGACAGAGGATCCCTTTCTATAGAGAGCAAACGGCGAGCTCGGGGCTGATGGAGTAGGCCAGCAAGAGGACCTTCCGCACCGTCCCTCCCCGCTTCTCTCCTCTGGGAAGTGGTGCAGCAAAGGATGCCCTCTGAGTTCTGCATCCCCTCCCATCCGGCTCAAGCCCGGGTATGAACCCCGTCTATAACATAAGGAGGAGAAGAGTACTTCCCTTGGTAGGGTTGCTGGGCAGACTGAAGTCTGAGTTAGTGCAGATAATGCGCTGAGAGCCCATATATAATGAGCTCCGTTAGCATCAGCTGTCTCAGCCCTGCACCCACCGCGTCCCCTGGCACTGTCATCCCCTTCGAGTGTTAATTCCGGGAAAAGCTGTGTGTTTTTCTGAAGAACCCCCAGCGTGATCAGGAATAGGAATAGGGCCCTAGATGCTGACAGGGAGAGAGGAACTGGGAGGGGGGGCCTGCCCTGATCCCCAGACCTAACCCCCAGAACCATGGGCCGACCACCAGATACTCCCTCAGGCCAAAGGCGGCTGACAAGCAGGTTGCCTAGATTCTGCTTCCCCAGCCCTCAGCCTGAAAACCACCTCCAACTCCTTGCGTGGTTCTGCTGGCCCCTTCTTCCTCTCTCTCTCTCTCTCTCTCTCTCTCTCTCTCTCTCTCTCAGTGTGTCCCCTCTCTCTCTCCCCCTCCCCATCTTGGAGTTTAAAGGTTCTAGTACTCATAAGCTGTCACAGGCGATGTGACCTCAGGCGGCAGTTGAGCCCTGTGAGCCTCCACTTCCTTGTCTGTAAAGTGGGAGAATAACCCTCCCATGTCCCAGGGCCCAGGGAGGGTTTCCTGCCTCCATCAGTTTCTCGGTCTCTCCTTCCTCTCCTGCACCAAGGCTGCCGTGTACAGTTGTGCAGTATGGTCCCTGCGCTAGGGAATCTGCCTTCAAGTGTGAGGCGGAAGCTGAACTCCAGCCACGGAGCCATGTGCCTTAGCTTGGGGCCCAGGCTGCCCTGCCTTGAATCTCCTGTCTTCCTGTCTCTCTCCCAGTCTCTGTGTCTGTTTCTCTGTGCCCTTTCCTAACTTATCTTTGCTATGGAGATAGGAACCCTCAGGCCGCTCCACTCAGTGAGATCCCAGGCTGAAGACTCCCCCTTCCTCCCACACAGGAATGCGCTCCGACCCAGCTCTACACGCCACTCAGTGCACACATACCCACGCTTGCACATGCAAGCTCAGAGCCCCTCCTATGTCCAGCCAAGCCAGGCCGCCGGCACACCAGGCATGTCTGCCGGATGGAGGGACAGGAAGCCTGCACGCTCATGTTCGTGCCAGAGGCGGGGCGGGAAGGGGGCAGGGGTGAGGGGCTGGCCTTATGCTCTCTGTGGCTCAGGAAACAGAAGCTAGAGGGTCCTCAGCCCGACCTGTTTACTCATCAGGAAATAGGGAAACTGCAGGGATCTGATTCACCAAACGCCTCCCCGCCTACTGGAAGCTGGCGCCAGCGCCGGTCCGCACCCTCGCCACCACCCGTAGGTGCTAGTGACTGTCACCCCCACTTCACGGTGAGACGTGGGTCTCGGGTAGGATGACTTGCCCAAGGACTGACTGGTTGTCGGAGGCGACTGCAGGACCAACATCCCCTTGGAAAACCAAAGCAGTGGGTGGAGAGTAACCCCTGGGGCGACACAGGCCAGGGAGCCACTCTTCCCAGTGGAAAACTCCCCTCTGGCCCACCGCCAATGGGTGCTCATCGCCACCCCCAGATACCCTCAGAGAGCGCCGCTCTGCTCTGGCCAGCGCCCCTCTTAACGCCCCCTGTGGCGGCCCCTACCACAGCAAAGGGCTCCACGGGGGGAGCCCCACCAGATGTCCAGCCTCAGGGCCTCTGCCCCTGGGCTCCCACCACCCTGCACAGCTGCTGCCCCACCTGCCTCTCACCACACCCCCGCCTCTGCCCAGGCCCCCTGAAATGCCCAGGTCCTGCCCATCCTTCAGGCCGGCCTCCCCCAGGAAGCCCCTTCAGTGACTCCAGACCTCCTCACCCATTCCTGCCTGCCCTCATCACCACAGCCCCCCACCCACCAGTCCCCCTGCCCAAAGGAGACCTGGCTGTTCTTCCCCCCCAATTCTTGCCTAAGGCCGGCTCCAAACTGGACATGGGTCAATACTTCCCGAGACCCCAGCCAAAGGCTTGGTACCAGTATCCCTCCTCTGGGGGCAGGCGGGCCTATCCCAGGCCCATCCAGAAGTTCACAGCCCCTGGAACACCTCAAGTCTGATGGACCCGTCAGGTGATGAGACCCCCCTTGCGATTGCTGGTTTGTGAGTCTGGGACCCCCCTCCTATCTAATTCCTCTCCTAGGCTCCATCAGTGCGTCGACGACTGCCCCCTGGATGTTCACTCCCAGCGCACAGTCATTATGCTTTTGCTACGGAAAGTCTTCCCCACAGGAGCTGTGAGGTGTCAGGGTCCTTCTCCACCATCCTCTCCACTGCATCCCCAGCACCACCAGCACCTACATGCATGCACCCAGGGTGCGGGCACCGGCCAGCCATCACCACACATCTCACTGGTTAGCCCCGAAATCCTTCCTTCTCCCGTAAGACTTGGTCTTCCTCGGTGGGGAATGGGAGCGAGGGAGAGGGGTTGGGAGGCTGTGGCTTCTCCCTGGCTCACCAGACAGCGGAGCTGGGCCCTCCTTTCAGGGCCCTCAGGACACAGCATTGGCAGGACGATGGAAGGTGGACTTTCAGAAAGAACTTCCTCTGTTGCAAAGTGAAAGGCAGCTCCAGACCTGACCCCTTGACCTCTAGCAGGAATTCCTCAGGGCTGGCCTCCAAGTTCCTATGGGATGAGTGCTCCTCAGTGTAGCACTGAGTCACCTGGGGAGGAGGAAGTGTCACCCCCAGCCCAGGGGCAATGTCCCCTCACTGTCCATCCACACCTCCTCCAAAACAGGGAAGAGGCTCCAGAGGCCACGACTTGGGGGGCGGGGGTAGGGGGCAGAGGCAGGAGAGGGGACCCAGGAGGCCTTAAGGCCCTCCCACATGCGGTTCCTCTCTGGAAACCTCTACCTTGCCACATGTGGGTGCGGCAATACCAATCACTATCCCTTGTTAAATGTATACTGTGGGCTAGATCCTTGCTTTTCATTCTCTCAGCAAGCCTAGAACGCAGGCGCTATTATGCCTTCCATTTCGTAGGTGAAGAAATATTCCAGGGAGGTTAGGAGTTTGCTCCAGGTGAGAACGCGGAGTCACTGGGCTTGGACCAGCCTGTGCAGCCCCTTTGAGGCCCTTCTCTCCCTGTGGCTTCTTTTTGGTCTTCGGACTCTCTGTCTCTCCTCTGTCTCCCCCTCCTTGTTCTTCCTCTTGGTCTCTGCTCTGTTTTTCTAAGTTGGCCTCCCCTCCACCCCCCACCCCCTCTGAGCCTTGTTGTTTCCGGGAGTCTCTAAGGCTCTTTCTCTATTTCCATATTTATGTCTCTCTATCTCTTTCTCTGTCCCTGCCTCCTCTTCCTTCTCCTGCTGGCTTCTTCCCAAAGCTCATGTGCCAAGAATGGAGCCAACACCCTCCTCCGCGTTAGAATGGGCCCCGGAACCCCTCAGTCTCCCAGGAGTCCTCTTTCTCAAGGCTTCCAAGGCTTCTGGAAGGAGCGGCTGGGGAGCACCTCAGTGCAGGCCCGGCCCCCTCCCCAGCAGCACGTGTTGATGTGGGGGGGCGGGGGGGCAGACAGAAGCCCAGTGACCTCTATCTCTATCCAGGTTTCCGATTGGTGGATGGGGCTGCCTGGAGCTTCCTCTTCTGGGAAAGTCTGATAGGGAATGGCGGGGGGGGGAGCAGTGGAGAAACTGATGCTAACCACCGGCTTCATTCCCAGTGCAAAGAGGAAGACAGAGAGGTGAGCCTGGCCCCCAAGCCAGCTGCCAGGTGGCAGAGAAGGTAGCCCCAACTGCAGCAGCAAGTATGATGGGGAGACTTGGGGAGACCTCAAAAGTGGGAGGGGCAGCAGCAGGGGACAGATGGCAGGAGACAGGAGAGCTGAGCCCACACCCTGGCTCACATGCGCGCATGCACACACAGGTCCTGTATCCTGGACTAGGGTAGGAGGGGGTTCAGAGAACAGCTCCCTGCCCCCCAGGCCCAGCTTAGGCCAGGGTCCAGAGCTGACCCCTTGCCCAATCTTGCCTGGAGCTGAGGTCTGGCTGATCCTGGGAACCTCAGGCCAGCACAAGCTGTTCCCATCCCCGGGGACTGGGAGCACAGGCCAGCCCCGGGGAGAGGCCACTCATAAAAGGCCAGGAGAGCAGAGAGTCTACTACTGGAGGCTGGAGGTGGGGGTGAGGGCTGGCCCTGCTGGCTCTCCTGGAGCCGGACCTGCCGCACACACCAGTCTTGCTGTTAGCACCACCTCAGATCATCCCCAGCCCACGGGGTCCTCTGAGGACCCAGGTGCCTGTGACCTCCGGTCGACTTCCTAAGTTCTCCAAACAGGCCAAGCCCGGAGCGCCAGAAACCTGCAACCTCGTCCCTCCCCTACAGCCTCCTCACACACTGATCATAATAAACACTGGCCAGGGGACATGCTTTTGCTCTTCCCAGCCAACAACTACTCCACGAGGAAGGCTGTGTATCTAGAAATGAGAAACTGAGGCACGGAGTTTAAGCCTCCTGACCAAGGTCCGACAGCTGGTACGGAGCAGAGTGGAGATTCCAACTTAGCAGCCTTGACTCCACTGCGGAGCTCTTAACGCTCCGCTCCCTTCAGCCAAGTAGAGGCCCCGGTACTTGTCCCTGCAGCCCGGGGAGGGGCAGGGGGAGGCTGCCCTGGACTCACCCGGCCGCAGCAGCCTCGTTTGCTGTCAGGTACCCGTCCCCTTGGGCCTCTACTACAACCCCCCATTCGCATCTCTTTCTCCCGCGTCCCCACTCCCCGCCCAGAGGGCTCAGACTCCAGTCCAGACGGGACCTCAGCGTGCGCTCGCCCTTCCCCGGGGCGGGGCGCGGTCACTCACCTGCCCGGGGTCCCCCCTGTGGGCCTGGGGTGGGGACCGCCAGG